TATAAATTTCAATCTTTCATTTTAATTATTTTAATTATAATTAATTAATAATTATAACTTATTTATTTAATGTATTAATAAACAACTCTGAGACCTGTTTCACGTCAAGTATATGAGTATATCTGAAACGAACGCCTCGTTGCCCTGGGCCTCGAGTCCCTTCGGATACTTCGGATACTGCCCCAACTAGGCTTCGCGTGAAGAAAGAGTCACTGCTTGTTCGCCTTCGTTGGTCCTGTCGGAGTCGCTGCTTCGCCTTCGTTGGTCTCGTCGGAGTCACTGCTTCTTGCTTCGTTGCTCGGAAGTCACCTCTGGAGTTCACTGCGAAGGTAATGATCATTGTCAAGCCTTCTTTGTTCCTGTTCCTGTTGGCTCGGAAGTCACTACGGGAGTTCGCTGCGAAGGTAACATTCTTTTTTCTCCATTTTCTCCTTACGCGCTTCTTCAACTGTCGGAGTCGCTGCTTCTTGGCCTTCGTTGCTCAGAAGTCTGCGTCGGGAGTTAGGCTCCGAAGGTAATGAAAACTAAAAAGTCGTTACATCATCTTAACCTTTTGGGAAACTCAGCATTTTACATCTGCATACGTTGCATAGAAAGCACCTACAAGCCATCGGCATCATCAGAAAGGATCATGCCATGTGCTCTGACAACATTGGATCACTGGTAACCTGATTTGAAGGTACTAAATTGTGATATTGAATACCAATTATTATGCCCATTTTATTTTTTACTATTCCAAATATCGCAATTTCCTTCCATCACTGATGTAGTTGTCTTCATTTTCTGCTTTTGCATTTATCACGTCATGCTTCTGTTTCTGAATTGTGCTTAATATTTTTCTATTTTATTTCTCATAGCAAATCTTAAATTGAATGTCAACACTCAAGGTTATAAACCTTGTCCCTGATTAAGCTTTGATTTTCCTCACGTCCCTTTTCTTTATGTTTATTCTTTTCTTCCAAAGGAATAGAGGGGTTATTTCAGAGGGATAAGGAGCAATTATTTGATCTTTAACTTGCCATGCATTTTTATGCTGGGGTTTGTGCCATTTGATATGAAGATGGATAAAATGTTGCATATGGCTTACTATTTATTCAGGTTTAATCAATATCACAGGCAGTTTGTTGACTTACCAATGGATGGTCTATGCCAAACTTCTCAAAGTTCATTGGAGCCTCACATGAATCAAGCAAACATTCCACATAGGTAGTTTATCTGGGATCATGAATGCCCTAAAGTTCGTGAAGTCAAAATTTTCTCTAACCATCCTAAAATAAAATGGAAACGAAGTATTAAAAATTGGACACAACAAACCATCTCAAGCACGCTTGATATCGGTTTCACTCATTACAATTATGATTCTTATGTGTATATGAAATCTGAAAAGATTAGTGGCACTATATATCTTTTACTCTCAATTGATGATATATCACTTGCAATTTTTGTTTTAAAAGAAATCACCATATGGAAGGCTTTTCTTTAAATGGAGTTCTAAAAAATATCTTAGTATGCCAAGAAAATTCTTGTAATGGAGTTCATCCAGTTAGAAAAAAAAAGCCTTGTTCTTCTTATAAGGAATATGCATCAAGAAGATTATTGATAGGTTTGTTATGAAAGCTTTTAAATCAGTTTTTACACCTCTAGTACGACATTTAAAGTTGAGCAAGGATCAAACACCAACTTATGATAAGGAAAGGTCATATATGAAGAAGGATTCCTATTAAAATATTATGATTGGTGTCATGTATGTTATGATTTATTGTATGCAATATTTGGCTTATTCACTTAGTGTTATTTATTGGGTCGTTTTTTTTTTTAATCAATGGAGACATTATTAGGAAGCTACAAAATGGTGCTGGTTTAAATGTAACAAGTTCTTTGGAATTGAGGTATGAAAAATCTGATTCAGTAAATGAAGCGAGTACAGGGTAACCAGAGTTAAAATTGATTGTAAGTATTTCTCATGATGAACTCAGTAACTGAGATGAGGATTCATAAAGCCATTCCTCAGTAACTGGGATGAGGTTAATGATTATGATGACAATCAAAATGTTTGCTCATATGCATAAAATTATCATGTGTTAAAATTTGCTTCAAGCAACCTACGTAATTATTTGGTTTTTGGGAAAAATATTTGTTATTGCTGCTTTACGTTTCCTTGTTAGTGTGATTTTCATAAAAATATTGATAACTGAGAATGCATTTGTCTAAACACTTTGATTTGAAGTTCCCAAAATTTGTTTAGCAGGATTTAAGTTATATCTTGCATATATCCAGCCTATTATAGGATACCAAAGAACCCACCCTTAAGTTTTAAAGAGGTTCATCAAGCTGCATGGACATCCTTTCTATTTTTGATTATTATGTAAAAGTTTCTTTGGCTTCCTTGGTACTCTATCCACCATAAGTGGCAACGTCATCATTGATAATTATGTGCAACCACCAGTAAATCCTTCTCTAGATTTCATTGCCCACCAACGTGGGATGATGCTGATAAAATTCATTGAAATCTGTTTGATTGATTTAAGGTTCCTGAAATTCTGGTTGGCAGGATTTAACTTAAATATTGCATAAATCTTGCCTATTGTAGAATACCAAACAGCTCCTGAGTGTTAATGAGGTTCATGAAGCAGCGTGGACACCCTTTCTTTTTTGTGATTATAATGTAAAAGTTTATTTGGCTTCTTTGGTAGTTTATCCGCCACCCGTGGAAACATGATCATTGATAATTACGAGAAACCATAAGTAAATACTTTTCTAGATTCCATTGCCGACCAACATGGGGGATGATGCTGTTAAAATTCATTGAAAATCTATTTGATGGATTAATTGTTTCCTGAGATCGCATTTCAGACTGTTTTTGTTGTGTATATCAATGAGATTATAATTGTCCTGGGTAGCAATATTACTTTCATCCAACTGTGCAATCATATAGAGTAAAACATCAACATTGGGGTTTTTCACTGACAAACTGTGAGTTATTAGATTGCATGTTTGTGCATAATTTTAGTTGCAATGCATTGCAGCGTGTATGGTGCAGCATGGCCACTGATTGCATTTATTTTGCTATTGGATGAGTCATGAAATTATGGAATTGAGTCCAGATTTTTTGTTTTATTTTATTACTTTGCTTCTCAGAATATTATTGAATTTGTATTTAAGTGTTGAATCTTTGCATGTTAATGGATAATAAATTAAGTTGTCGTGCAGTGTAGCTGACATTGGTATAGTGCATGATCACTACTTGCATTTATATATCACTATTGGAATTGCAATGAACTTCCTTTTGCAATCGGGTTTAGATTTTTGCATTGGTTGAATGCTTTTTGTTGTAACTTTACATAACATTTGTAGAAAGTACTAGATGTGAAATCCTCCAGGTAATTGTGCATGCCCTGGGGAGTATTGAGATCTATTGTTCGTGTGTAAGGCCTTTGAAAATGATCCAAACGAGGGTAACTAAAATTGGCTGACCAATCACGTTGTGATCTATCCTCTATTCATAGCACCAGTGTCGAAGAAATATCAGATACAGCTACATTCCTTTTCCAGTTTTTGTTTTAGATTCATGAACGTTTACAATTTAAAAGCAAATAAAGCTTTTGACAGCAACAATGGCAAGTGTGATCGAGATAGATATTCAGGCAATGAGTTTGCTGATCGAAATTTCTCTGTCTGAGGCTTTTGCGTCTATTCTATGGGATCATTTCTGAAAAGATCATACATAGTATGACAATGAAATGTCCTAAATTCTATTAAATCAGATTCCATGAGCCATGGGGCCTTATCTAGGCAAATGCTGTCACCTGAGTCCATAGGTATTGCAGGATCGGTCGGTTGTTTTGTTTGATAGACCAATTTAATGCTTGCATATGAAAAAATTTCTTCGTTAATTTTATCTGTAACTTTGACCTTGTATGAGTTCCTTCTTCCTTGTTTATTACATCAGTTGGAAGGCTTTCGTGTTGCTTAACTTGTATAACTATTTATTTATTTATTTCATAAAAATATGCAATCCTTAACACTTGAAGACATCCTTATCACTCATTGTCTACGGCTTATATGTATGTTGCCATCGCTGATATTAAATTTCTTTCACAGTATCAGTGTTGCTTTGAAATATTAGGATTTTTATCATGAGTTACCTTGTTTGCCTACCCGCCAGTTGATTTGAATATTTCTCTTAATGTTTTTTTTTTAAAGTTTTGACTAACAAATTTAGTCTTCTAACACATGATATATTGATGTAAAAAAATAAATTGGTTGGGAACCCTCACATTATACATAAACTTTTCTTCGGATCTTTTATTTTACTTAAATGAGTATATTTGAAGAATAACACAAATTTTATTAATTTATTTCATACAATAATTTGATCTTTTTATTAATATTTTTTTTTAAATTTTAGCAACGTGCACTTTGTGCACGTGCAATAAAACTAGTTATCAGAAGAAACTCCTAGGTTTCCTGCGCGCCCCCTCTAGCGAGTGGCGATACACCATCAATTACACTTCCATCTAGCGGTTCTCTGACGGGTTGTGCTTTACTTACCTACCTACACTCTCTTCCGATCAGGAGCTCCAGCAGCGGATTTCTCAAGGCGATACAATCGACTCCTCAGTGCGACACGATGCTCCGGTAGTCTCTTCTACCTTGTGATGCATAACACCAGCGGCCTCCTCCTTCTCGCGAGTCCAGGAGCTGGAGGCGGAAGAAGACGTACGTTAAATAAAGAGCGGTAAAAATATGTGATTCCTTGAATAAAATCAGTTTTGCACTTGTTTTTTTGTCTCAACATTTATGAGTATTTTCTAAAACTGTTATCCAAGTGCTCTTGTTAGGTCTCTGTAGGCATTGAATCATTCCTGGATTTTTTTGGTCTCGAGATTCATGGTTCAGGTCTCCATACTGTTTTGTGGTGCTCTTGATGCATTTATTATGCATTAATCAAGTTTATGTTTTTTTGCCTCACTGTAGGTACTAGAAATATATCGAACATTTATGCTAAAGACATGAAAAATGAGGTGCATATAACATGTTTTTTCACACTGAGATAGCAATCATCTAAACACTAGAGTTTCTGGTTTATAAACATCACCCAAACAATTGGAAATTTTTTCGGACAACTGAAAGGGTTCAGCAACAGCTTTTTCTGACATCAAATTTTCTCACTGCAACTTCACAGCTAACTTTAAGGACAACATCAAGCACTCCAAATGTGCATCCATATAAAACTCTCTTTATTGTGGCAAAACATAATAGAAGTTGAAAATAATTTGCCTTGAATCCCCTCATTTACACTTCTGTCTCTTTGCCTGCTGGTTTGTTTCCTTTAAGAGATATTGGAATTGAGTTTGTTACCTGATTCGAATTCGACAGGTTTAAAGGCCAACTATAGTTGAGGATTGGGACTGGAGGGAACTGAGGCCCAAGCCCTAACCTTGTATGTCCTCCTCCAACAATGGCGCTTTCTCCTTCCACTACTTGTGATTTTCACTCTTCTCCCATCTCTACATCCAATGCATCTGATGTCTCCGATAACAATCTCCAGGTACTCCAGTATCTTTTCTTCATTCGTCATTTAAAGTTCCTAGTTTTTAAAATATTTAATGTTTCTTTCTTACATTCAGCATTTCTTTGTTCTCCACAAGGCACCGGCTCGGAAATGCGAAAGAAAAAGCTCCTCAACATACCGGAGAACAAAAAGAAAGATTGATATGTTGCTTTCTTCTCCAATTAAAGACACGCAAGAAGAGAATGATGCTATCTACGAGCAGCTTCGCCTAGAAGCCTTTGAAAATACTTGGTCGAAGATCAATTCTACTGTCAAGGTCAGCTACTCTTCAGTGCATCCCTCTCTCTTCATCTTTAATGTTCTTAAATGTCATGCCCCATTTTCAAACCCCTTCTGTGTAATTATGAGGCATAACTGAAGCAGACAATCTCAGAAGACATAATTGTCACCATTCATCCTGATTAAACTCGTTAGAATTGAATGAGTGAAAAGTAGTTTGGCTCTATCGTATCGATAATATTCCTATTATATATAGCATCGAATGAGTTATAAGCTCAATGAAATAAATAATTATAACTTAAAGACAAATATACAATGAATGAATATAAAATATGACGCTGATCATTTGAGCTAAAAGAAACATTTACATTCAATTATATCAACAAACTCAATATAGTAGATGCTAATTTAAGACACGGGTTATTAATCAATTGCACGAAAAAATCAATTAAAAAAATAAGCATAACGGTTACATGAAAATGATGCTGACATTTATATTTCTTATTTTCATTTTCTTACTTATTCTTGATGACCATTATTTCAAAATGTCATATCATGCTTACGGGCTTTGGCCTTTTTATATGATCATTCCGTTGATACAGGTCAGACCGTTTGAACTTTCCAATATTAGAGTTGTGAATTCCTTTTTATTAGAGTTCTAATCTTGGCGTGTATTGCAAGCTTTGTTCTAAGTCTATTTGAATGTAGATAAACATGTTAAGTAATGATATTGTAACAGGTGAATGTGTAGTTCATTCTATCTGTACTATAAACTTGAATTGCAATTTGTTATTATCATGAGCCAATAGTTATTTTGATAATATGTTTTAGGAATTATGTTGTATCTATAGATTAGTTGTGTATCCATTCTTCGTTGATTGCCTTACTTATGGCATATTTGTAAATGCAATAGGGTAGACCACACTGGTTATGAGTAGGTGGCACTGTAATGTTTTTATTTATTAATGACTTAATCAACTTATTTGCTTTGAAATGCTTGATATTTGCATTGTAGTTATGAATACATCTATTAAATCGGCAAGGAATTATTGGTTTGTTAAAAATATGAATTCAACGTACAGGCCAAGCCACAGCTAAAAAAGGAAAAAAAAAAAAGATGCAAACTTCACAAGATCATTTGAAGTTTAAATTTTTCTTCAATCAAATGGCTTAACACAGGTTAAGCTTCAAGCCCATTTTAATTTTGCTTATCTTCCATTAGCTTAGATAGGCAATTGAACAAGCCCTTAACTTACACTTACTTTTCTCTAAAGCTAGGAAAGACAGTCTTAGCTTAAAAATGATAATCATGATGAGTAAAATACCATTTTGTGGTGGTTTTTTCAGTTTAACCCCTGTGCCAAATTGTGCTTTAGTGTTTCTACAAGTTTTTATTTTTATATTTTAGGAAGTTTTAAGGGAGATCAACCTTACTTTGTTCGAGGAAATACGCCAGTGGGTTTTTGAATCGTTCTCCACCATCAGATCCGCTAGTCCTGTTCATATGATGAAGCCATATCCGATAGCAGCAGGGGCCACATGTAAAAGAATACCAGCGGCGCTGATCTTTACAAGTAAGCTGTATTTGCTGGAATTTTTTATTTTTGATACTGATATGTGAAGTATAGAATACGATAAATATGGTTAGGTTATGAGAAAGCAATGACTGATTTGTTGATGGATGGACTAAAATTTTGCAGAGAATATTGAGTTTGTTGATGATATGCTGATGTTTCAAGATCTCAAAGGATATATGCAGTCTAATGGGTGTCATGCAGCTTTTCTCTCAGCATTGGATATCTCCACAAAGTGTGGTATAGGAAGTTGCCTAAGAAGTTTATATAAACAACTTGTTCCAGAGGCTTCGGATGTAAGAGCTTGCGTACATTGCAATGAGCTAATTTCATCAAATATATATGAAGCCAGTTTTCCTCTGTAAGCAAGCAAGAATTGTGATATTTGTTATTTTTATAATTTGTCTGCAATTAATAGGTTGTTGATGTACCGTTAATAGCCTCATGGTATTGCAAAGATGAGAATTATGATAAGCCAATTGCTGTTATAATTGAAGACATGGAACGATGTGATAGTGCAGTCCTGGCTGATTTTATTAAAATGCTAAGGTATGTAGGAATATCTATCGTGATTGAAGCTTTCAAGAGCAGCTATGAGGCAGTTTTATTGTACAAAATCAACTATATATTTTATCCTAGCGATAATTTTGGAATCACAAGGTATACGATATGATTTATCATCTCGAGTCAGAATTACCTTAAAGTTGTGTTTTATCTCATTAATCTTTTATTTTTATTGCCTTTAATAAAAAATGCACAAGAATGAATTAAATAATACTCTTAACTCCTGGTTGAGTTATTCACTATGGTGGAAGCAATTATAGTTCATGCGTCAATTCTGTAATTGTCCTTATCTAAGTTACTCTGTTGTTGTATATGCCATGCTTGCAACAGTACAAGCATTCATTCATAATCACATTCCTGCAACAGGAATTTGAACATGAAATTAATGTGGATCATTATTGGTTAATCTTTATACTCTGGAGTATTTTATTTGACTCTGCAACATGTTTAATGTAAAATGGTTGAAACTTAGCAAGCGTTTAGCTTACATTGTCTCTGCTCAATTAGTCAATTTAAGTAGTTACGATCCGGATATATATTGGAAATAGGTTAATTAAACTGTCTAATGAAACCAAAAATTTGAAAACAGCAGCAGACTTTATTCCTAGTTCTCCTTTTTATTGAAGGGAAGTATTACTGCTTTATTTGACTCACATGCTTTGAAATAAACTTTTTTAAATTTCGCTTTGTCAAGTAATAAATTTCATTTTCTTCTAGTCTTTGTACCTAAGATTAAACTTTATTTTTCTTTTTGGTGTTTCAATTCTCATTAACTAGTATTTTAATCTTGTAAATGTTTAGCTAACACATATTAAAACATAATTTATATAGTCATGATCAGGATATACGAGTTAATCAACAAATTGATACAACATTTTCCAAACGTATCCAAACTTATTTGTCAGGTTCTATAAACATGAGCCAGTTGTAGCTGGTGAACTACTCTCACGCCGCTGTTCTCCATACCTATGATCGGAGCCCCCTCGAGGCTCTTAATTAGGTAGGGAATGGGATAAGAGATTAGCTAGTTTTGTTATACATCGAAAATGCTATTTGAAGCATCCATTTTTATGACCGGGAGCTTCAATTCGGAATGCATTCCTCCAATTATGAAATATTGACACTTCTAGATGCCTTCTATGTCTGTACCAACCATGTGTCAGATGCGGACGCATCTTTGACAAATCTTGATGTGTCAGACACTTTCATAATCGTGTTAGATGCCTTCTATAACTCTCAATATTATGTCATGTTATTGCTATTGTTAGATTTTTGTATCTTTATTGGAGTTGATGTTATCCCATTTGAGGATTTTATCATTCTTTGTCAAACTTTTGTATGCTTCAACTTGGCAGTGGTACTCTTTAAAAATAAATTATACATTCCTTTTTCTGTTTTACTCCCGTCTCTTGATTAAATTTGTAGTGAATGGGTGATGAAAATTCCAATCATTTTTATACTGGGAGTGACTACTTTTGATGCCCTGAGAAAACTTCTCCCCTCAAGTGTCATGCATAATTTGCAACATTGTAAGTTCATACTGGAATCTCCCTGAAGGAGAATGGATTTTCTAATTGAGTATGTTCTAGTAAGATTATGATACTGTGGGACTAAATTGGTTTGGGCTTTTTCTCTTTTTTTTTTTTCTCTAGAAAATGTGCGATCATCATGGATTTTTTAAATTCTGATTTTGTAGAATTTGAAAGCTGAGAAATTTGATTTTGATTAAGTTTCCGTTACCTCCTTGTCAATACAACAACCAACATTTTCAATTATGTAAGGGCACTTTAACGTTAAACATAGCTTGAATTTATGTAATATTGCCTGGAACTTGGAAGGGTATGTTCTCAAACTAAAAAACTAGAACAAATGAAATGAATAAGTTTACTATTTGATAATTTGAAAATTCTTTATCAATTTGTTTAAGTTTTTATAATTCTCAATATTATGTTGTGTTATGGCTATGTTAGACTTTTTGTATCTTTATTGGAGTTGATGTTATCCCATTTTAAGATTCTGTCTGCATAAAGATTTTATCATTCGTAGTCAAATTTTTGTATGCTTCAACTTGTTATTGGTACTCTTTAAAAATAAATTATACATTCTCTTTTTTGCTTTACAACTGTTGATTAAATTTGTAGTGAATGGGTGATGAAAATTCCAATCATTTTCATACTGGGAGTGACTACTTTTGATGCCCTGAGAAAACTTCTCCCGTCAAGTGTTATGCACAACTTGCAGCTTTGTAAGTTCACATTGGAATCTCCCATAAGGAGAATGTATTCTCTGATTGAGTATGTTCTCGTAAGACCATCTTCTGGGTTCTTTATTGGCCACAAGGTTGCATTATTCTTGAGAAACCATTTCCTTAGACATGATGGAACGATAACCTCATTTTTAAAGGCACTGAAGGTAAATGCTCTCAGTCTCTGAGTGTTTTCTCATTCAAACTTGACATTCTTATTGAATGTACTCAGTTAATTATGTATAAAAAATCATTATGATTGTATTTTTCTGCTGGATCTTGCCTATGTTAAACAGTTGCTTACCTCTGCAGCTTGCTTGCGTTAAACACTTCAGTGGGGAACCTTTAAGTTTTTTGTGCCCGGGCATGCTTCATGATGATTGTGAGGTAATACTAATCTCTACATTACATACTTAATGCAACATGTTACTAATCTATGTTGACTATATTATTTACATAAATTAATATCATTTCTTCTAATAAGATATAATTATGAGGTTTAGCTTTAAATTATGTCCCTTGACTGGATTTGATGCTATAACATTGCTTTTTACAAATTAATGCTACATGATATTAAGCTTCATCATTCTAGTTAAAATTTAATCTTTATACGTAAATCTTCTGCTTCACATTCTTTCTTCCCTGTAAATGATAATCTAGTTTTGTAAGCTGCTTAAGTCATATAGTTTATTATTCACCTTATTTATATTTCCTTCTGCAGGCTTTTTGTCTGGCAAGTGTAAAACTTTAAATGATTGTTCGACTAAATCCCTAATTGTACAATACAAGTTCTCTTAGAGCTTGCACTAATTTGGCTTCAACATTCTAATGAAAATCTAATCTTGAGCTCATGTTGATGTTTGGCTTCATATTTATATTCTCTTTTTAGCACCATTACTAAAAATCTAAAACTCTGTTGGAATTTCTTTTCTGGTCTGTGTATTGAGCAAAAAATGACCGGTCTCAGAAACCATGTGCAGATGAAAATTTGGTTCTCAAATGATAATCTCAATTTTCATGCTGGCTGAATTTACCTTGTGGGTATTTGTTGCTGCAGGCTTTCTGGTCTGGCAAGTGTGAATCATTATCTGAAGTTTTGAGAAGTTATGCTTTTGATTTACCATCCTGTCAAAGGTTTTGACTCGCTCATGATTTTCATGTTTCTGATGGGGATTGCTTTTTTGGCTTTAGCTTACGCATCTGGGAATGGTATATCCAGGGGCAAAACCACGGGGGACAATAATCTTGCACAAGGCTTGTCTAAGTTGAAGTGGCTGCAAAACAGTTGGAGTTCTGTAGTTCTGGTTGGACATTAAACTTATCCAAATCTCTCTTGAAAAGTATATGATATCAAGCTTGCACTGTTCTGTTTATATAACCTTTTTTGTCTTATTTGCAATTAATTTTTACATCACTCTATAGATTTTCCATATTTAAGGATAAATTCCTAATAATTATAAAACGGCGGTCTTCCGATGACCCGGTTAGGAGAGTAGAGGTATTAGATTTGACTTATGTTAAGAAAGGTAGGGGTAGACCTAAAAAGACTTGGTTAGAAAATATTAGGAATGACCTTTCTTTATTAGATTTAAACGAGAATTTGACTTTTAATAGGACACAATGGAGAAAAAAGATTCATGTAGCCGACCCCACGTAGTGGGATAAAGGCTTGATGTTGTTGTTGTTGTTGCCTATAGATTTTTCATATTTACATTTAATGCGTATTTATGCATGCATCCGTAAAGGACTGATTATATCACAAGGTACCTGGCATTTATTAGTAATATTGCTGGTTAAGCGTTACCAGACCATTAGACTCTGTTATGCATTTGAATTTGTGGTGCCCATAAAGGACATTGGGCCATAAGGTACTATGAAACCAATTTATTGCTTGCTGGATAACTGCTACCTTCTCTTATCACTTCATTGTTATTACAATGTTGATTGGGCATATCATCTAGTAATGTATGTATCACTAGGTAAATTTTACCTTACTCTTAATTTCACGTGGGACTCATTAAACTTTACAATCCCATTGGTGTTTGTACTTGCACCTCCTCCACCACACACATACCATATCCACTTTGCTTTTCCTTTGTCCATGTCCTTTTTAATAGCTTATATATTAATTATTGATATTATATTAATCATATCCTATCAATAGTTTCATAGAAGTTCCACAAAATTATTATAAAGATAACGTGTATTTAAGGTGTAACTTCTTCAGAAAAAGATGGCTGAAATCCTTGCTCCACTGATAAAAAGATTCAACGAGTATATAGAAGCACTCATAATAAATTTTCTTTGTTGTGTACGTTCTCTGACTGTTGCCCTGAACGGGTATTTTGTTTTTGTAATAATTAATTCTGTGCTATGAATGAATGGACGCTATTTACATCTGTTTCAGTGCCTGCTTGAAGTGGGGAAACTCAGCAAAATTCAACTTCTAGACATTTTTTGCGAGGCTATTGATCCGACTTTGTGCAGTGAATGGGCTTTAGGTCAGCAATTGTTACCACCATTGACTGCCTCCCATGACTCTGTAAATGGTGGCTTCATCTCTCAAGCTATACAAAAGGTTAGGTAAGCAGTTCTACCTAGAAAGAACATTCCAATGCTGATTAAAATGAATATAAGCTCTTTCAAAAAATTTGTTTTTTATTTCACTGTTGACTTCCGCTTGTGTTCCACAAACCAACCTAATTAAATGAGATGAGGAGGAAGGGAGATGGGTGCAATTTCACATAGAATTAACTCAGAACATCCTATTTAAAATGAAAAAAAAAAGCTCAAATGTCTTTGATTTCACTACAGACACACGGTATAGGTTAGGAAGATCAGACGATATTATCAACTGCAAGAAGAAAATATTCCAGATTCAAAATTTGAATTAGAATATAATTAGGGGTTGAATTGGATAATATAATGAATTTTAAAAAAATATTTAAATAATTCTAATGATGAAGTTATAATGCAAATATGCGATAAAAAGATAACTATTTTATGAAATATAAAATATACATGAGAAATTTAAATTTTAAACACCAGTATTTAATCGACCGCCATTTTTATAGTTTAATATTTTATTTCATAAATTCAGGTTATAAATTTATTTATATCAATGTTAAGTTTTAGTCATTTGATTTAATATAAATGTAACAATTTGATCATAACATGAACTAGGCAGTTCAATTAAATCGTGACTAGTTCACAAGTTTGCTGGCCTGATTGTTGTTTCTTTGTAGTTCTAATATATTTTTATAGGTTCTAGGAAAAGTAGTTTTAACTTTGGACCAAATTGATTTGAGGACTGGTGTTTGGTTCGATTTTGTAAGTGTTGGGTGGGAAGTAAAATCATGCAACGAAATAAACAAAAAATAGAAAATTGTAGCAGGAAGAAAAGAACACACCACACTACACCACATCACACTAAAAAATTCACTATAAAAATTGAGAGAAATAATACAAATTTTTCTTCTCTTCTTCTTCTTCTCTCTCTCTCCTCATCTCTCTTCTCTCTAGCACCGTTCTTACACAAGAACAAATTAAGTGATACACAACAACAACCAAGAGATGCAACCCTTGTTGAAAATAGAAATAAAATTACTTTGTCCGCCATGCACGGCGGCGCTCAATTCTCTGCCTCCTGTCTATATTGCAACGACGTAGCGCTGGGGTATGGAGAGCCACAACGCCCCCTGACAGCACCTCCGGGCCAAGGTTTGGAGCGCCACACCCTCCACTCTTTGTCTTTTTCCACCAAACTATGTAGTGTCAGGGCGCTATATGGAAAAAAAAATTTCGGGTGATTTCTCTCTCTCTCTCTCTCTCTCTCTCTCTCCTCATCTCTCTTCTCTCTAGCACCGTTCTTACACAATAACAAACTAAGAGATACACAACAACCACCAAGAGGCGCAACCCTCATTCAAAATAGAAATAAAATTTTTTTGTTCGCCTCACGCCGCGACGCTCAATTCTTCGCCTCCTGTCTATATGAAAGCGACGCAGCGCGGGGGCTTGGAGAGCCACAACGCCCCCTGGCATCACCTCCTGGCTGAGGTTTGGAGCGCCATAGCCCTCCACTCTTTGTCTTTTTCCACCAAACTATGTAGTGCCAGGTGCTATATGGAATTTTTTTTTGGGGTGCAAATCACCTGAACTCAATTAGGGGGAGAACCCCTACAACCCCCTAGCAAGCCCGCCAAATTGAGTTGAGTTCCAAAGCAGAAGTACAACCTGATTGATCGACACAATCGATTCCTAGTTCCCACAAAACTAACATAAGCATATATATATATATGGTGTGTGTGTGTGTGTGTTTGTTAGAAATAATACTACAATAACAACATCAATCTTTTATCCCACTACGTGGGTTTGGCTACATGAATTCTTTATCTCCATTGTATCTTATTAAGAGTCAAATTCTCATTTAAATCTAATAAAAAAAGATCATTTCTAATATTTTATAATCAAATCTTTTCTTTTTAGGTCAACCTTTCTTAATATAGGCTGATCTCCTCAATGACAAGCTAAGCCATTATAAGAACATTAACTAAGCGATAAACATTTGTATAAATTTTAAATGTTTAAATTGCAAAGCCTTTGAGGGCCATCATCTTGGTCCAGCTAGGAAGTTTTAGAAAGCTTCAAAAGTTGTGCATGAAGAATTCTGAAGTTTATAAAACCAAATCAAGTTGAGTTGAAAAAGTAGAAGAATGGTTTCTTCATCAGGTTATGGTCAAGTGCGCCACTAAATAAGATTGATGGCTGAGCTGGACTTTCAAAGCATCTCCAATTTAACAAGCCACAATAATGTAAGCCGAAATTAATTCCAAGTGATTTAAGAGGCTTATGATTGGATCAAAGATGTTTTCCTAACCGAACTGTTAGAGCTCATGTTTGCATATTGATAAAGGAGTAACTGTATTTGAAAAGTGAATCTCATAGTTTTCCAGTCCCTTATGATGATTTTAAAGGTCTAGATTTTGTTTATGCAATTTACCTTTCATGCAAAGGTAAGACTTTTTTTTTAATAATTTGGTTACCTCCCTAACATGAATGTATAGGCCAACCGCTTATGTTGAATAGTTATGTGACAGCATACACCAAGATCATTGCCTTATTCAACAACTATTTTGTGACCTTGTTAATCATGGTTGGTTTAATCAAAGCAATGATGCTTGGTGTGCATCCATCCATCTTTTTTCTTGGAGAAAAAATAAGTACCCTTGTTGGCGTTTTAGAGTTACAGGAGCTGGTCGCACAAGAAGCCACCTCTTCTTGATAAGGCATGCCAACGTATGTGTCGGTTGTGTGCTGTAGGTTAAACCAGTTAATTAGCTTTTTTTTTAAAATTATATTTCATGTTGAAGAATTTGAGAGAAGTAATAATTTCCCCAGCATTTTAACGGGCGTTTAACAGTTGTAATAGTCAGCGTTAAACTTTTTTGTATTTGTGTTGGCATTATTTTAAAAAAATGGGTGCTATAAGTACGTTCTCTATATTTTAATGACATGCATGTTTTTTAATATTCTTTTTACTCTGGACTCAATTCTTTTTACTATTTACATGTTAATGCTTTGGACTTCTTCATTGTTCAGGGAGCTTCCTTCTGATTCCCTCTGTCAATTGTTTGGCCAGTGGAGCCTTCACACGGCAGAAGTAATAGAGGTACCAGAATGATTTCGTGTTCTTTACCTTACTCCAATATTTCATGCAGCAGCCCTTACCATTTGGGCCTTCTGAAAGTAATTAAATTAAAAAAAAAAAAAATCTGCTAGCTGTTTCTAAAGCTTTTTTGAAACTTTGCCACCATTTGGTAGTTAGTCTGCTAGCTAGCCAAGGTATGGAGCCTCATTATCATTTTTTTAATGCATGTCAAACTTTGACAGTATATTCATTATAGCCTAAAAAATAATTATCCTTTTCTCTAAGTGACATTCATTCTTATGAATGGCTAAAGTGCTGCATGCTCTGGCATCTTAAATCACAGTGAAATAAAAGGGATATGGCTATGCACCGTGATTTGAGGAATGGTTATTTGTAAAGTATTGATTCCATTTTCCATGTTTTGAACTGTGGCCTTTGGGGAATGAACCTAACTAGCTTAAGCTTTGCTTGTTTAATGGTTTGAGAGCTGAACTTTTGTTGTCTGATAATCAAACTCATTTTGACCTTCTCATGATTCAAGTTTCCTAAACATTAACGAACCAAACATGAGGATGGTGATATGAATATATGTAATGGTAGTTAAGTTAAAAGTGTTATTGTAAATCTTGGATTTATTTGGTTTTTAATAATTTATTAGGAGCCATTTTGGTCTGTAGATACTCTTGTTGACTATTAAGGTTGCATGCAATCATTGAAGTATAAGAAGATAAGAGGCTTGACTCACTCTTTCCCCTCTTGGCCCTCCAAACTATCAGGAGTTTTGGGCATTCTACAACTGTCCAAATCCCTTCTCCTCTCTCTACTTGGAGCTTTAGACAAAGCTATAATTGATTAGTTATCAGCTAATGCAATACTTATACTATTATTTTCCTGAGATTTTTTGTGTGATTTATAACAAATTGGTGCTCTAGTTGATTTCTTTGTCAATTGCTGTCATCTTCATCAATCTTCACTCGTCGTTCACATAATTTATTATCGATCATCACTAGTCATTCATCTTGAAAACTCATTTAACTAAAGAAACCCCCCCACCAAAAAAAAAAAAAAACTCTCCAGATCTCCGACCCTCCTCTGTGCTAGTTTCACGCCTCCTCTCCCACTACATATCATGTATGCCTCTTCCAGATTCTATGCAGATTTTGCAGCCTCTGCCCATATATTGCCTCGAAACGGCTACCTTCATAATGCTCGATCCCGTTGTTAACCTCCTTTATGCTGTTCAAATGTAGATACTCTGCAACCAGGTCTAAGCTTTGCTAAACCCCACCTCCTGCATAGTCTTCATTATTTTCTCTTACGCCAATCCAAATCCAATTGATATCCAACTTGTTTTTCCACCACCTAGATTAGATAAAATGAGATCCTTTTAGATATATCCATCCCTGTTCGCAACCTCTGCCTCTTTGCAGATCTCATGTTGTCCATGCCTTCCAAACAAACCTCTAACAAGCTATAGTCAAAGATCCGTTGATCCTTGAACCTGTCCTCATCACCATATTGGGATGTATGCTGCCATCTTCATCATATCTCTCATTCAATGTCGTAGGTCACCATCCTCCCGTCCAGCATTCGCAAAAGCTTGATAAGAGCTGTCCAGTTCTCGTCAGCCTCAAATTGTTCCATTCAGAGTCTCAGAACCGACGGCTTGAGGGAGTTTATCATTTTTATTCTTAGTTTTTGTTTGCTTGGTCATGAGGGCAAGTTCGGTTTGAAGGGGTAGGTAAATATACGAATAAATGTAATGAATACTTAAGAGTGTAATTGTGTGTCTTAGACTTGCTAGTTTTTAATGGATTATTAGGAGCCCTTCTCTAGTCTATCAATACTCAATACTCACGTTGAGCATTAAGGCAACATGAACATGCCCCAAGAATTTGCACTACCGAGGAGGGACGAGACAGTTAGATGGATGTTTAAAACTTAGCATACATTTTATACAATTATAACAATTTGAACCCACCTTTTTTTGTTTTCCTGTAACTTCCAATATCTCAAAAAAGTCTAAATCAAAATTTCACTTATCATAAAGGTGTTCACATGCATATTGTATCAATACATGCCATATATTAATCATTTGAAGGAATGTAATTAACTATTCTATACAACTATTACAACTATACAAATACCTAATCGTGCTTGATGTAAACAAAATTCATTCTTTCGTAAATTTAGTCCACATGCAATTTTCCTTAAAATATTCCTCAACTACTGGGGTGAGCTATGAATATATAAATCAGTAGGTATAATACAATTCTAAAGCACATTAATCCAAAATGTTGCATGCTAGGCTAGTCATCATTTTTAAGATGTAAATAAATCATAGATCTTGGCTTTCATTTCAATAGAAATTATGACCATAAATATTACTTAATAATCAGAGTTATGTATGGTAATGGACTCATAACATTCGTTTTGAGGGCTTGAATATATATTGAGCTTGTTAAAACTTATACTTTGGCATCAATTTTAATACATCCATCTCGGTAGCACCGTCTATGCATTAATATAGTTGACCCTTGGCCTTATACATCTTGCATTGGCGTAACATGGCATAACTCATAGATCTGCTATTGTCTGAGGTGGAAAGGTAAAAGTCGTCAGTGTATGGATATATTAGCGTTGGGGATGATTCTCTTTCAATATGTGCATACAAGCATACCTATCATCATTTTCTTATTCATTCTTCTCTAATATAAAATCTATTTATAAGAAACATTGCAGGGCCAATGCAAGCAATATATATATATAAGAGTATACCCTTCATTCATAACAATATGAAGGATTAATTGCATTGTGAAAGACAAATAATCATAATTTGCAACATTAGTCTTGTGGCAATGAATCATCTTGTGCTTATAAAGGAGTAAAAATCATAAACATCTCAATTTTTTTGTATATCTTTAGAAGAAAGGAAATATTATTTCAATTTAGAAATGAGATTATTACATTAATTGACTTCTTGGATTTCGAATTGAGTCATTGTTGGCTCAAGAAAAATGGAAAAATAATTTCTTTTTTCTACATTTAAATGAAAATTTTCACCACCAGAGTGGCTTTCTCCATATTAATTGATTAATTAATTAAAATTTTAATTTTAATCAAACCAATAATCAATTTAAATTTCATTGCTCTCAAATTTTTAATTTGCTCTCGAATTTTTTAAATACTCGGAGGCAATTAATTGCTATTGGATTTAAATTAAGCAATTTAATTTTAATTAATTAATTTTTAATCAATTAATCAATCTTGATTATTTAAATTAATTAATCAATTATTGTTAATTAATTAATTTCAATTGACCAATTTTTTTGATTAATTAATTAATTCTAATTAATCAAATGATTTCAATCTATGTTGCACGGATACTCCTATTTACGAGGCGTGCTGTATCAGACACGTGTCAGATACGGATATGCCTCCGATACGACACTAATACATGTCGGATACGGCTTTGCTGTGTCCAATTAAAATATTATTAAAATTCGATTGGACACGCGTATCGGATACGCGTGTCCTATTAATAAAAGGAAGAAAAAAATATTATTTAAATTTGACTGGGTTGGTATCGAAACTCGGTACTCGGTATTGGTCGATACTGCTCGTTACCGCTCAGTACCGAGCGGTACTGGAACTCAGTACCGCTCGGTATTGGAACTCGCCAACTCGGTACCGCTCGGTACTAAGCGGTACTGGAACTCAGTACCGCTCGGTATTGGAACTCGCCAACTCGGTACCGCTCGGTACTATAACTCGGTATTGCTCGGTACTACTCGGTACCGAGCAATACTGGAACTCAGTACTGCTCAGTATTGGAACTCATTATCGCGCGGTACTGTAACTCGGTATTGCTCGGTACCGCTTGGTATTGCTCAGTATAGAGGGGTACTGAATGGTACCAAGCGGCAACGAGAAGCTAAAACATGCTCAGTACCACTCGGTATTTTTTCATAAAAACAACTTACTAAGCAGCACTTCAAAATTACTCTTACAAAAAAAATTTATTCCGGGGGCGCTGCCGGGGCGCAGCGCCCCCTTGGACCCCCGGCAGAGTCGCAACATATCTACACTTCTACTTAAATTTTTTCATGTTTCAAATTCATATTATTTAATTTGTGTCGATCCTATGTAGGATAATCAACTCTAGTGGAGTAGGAATTGAGTCTGATGATGGTCCATCAGAAATCAATATTGAAGATAACAAACCTCTATGGGGTTATGTTACAAATTCATATGATTTAATTTGTGTCGATCATTTGTAGGATATATATATATATATCAAGTCCAAAAGGGGGAAGAGGAAGAAAATAGTTTCTAACTCCTTGAATCAACCTCATGCTCAGGTGCATATGCCAGCAACTTCACTAGGCTCAACGGCCTTTCTCGCTTATCTTTACAGAAGCTGTTTTATAGGACAACCTTATTTTCAGTTGTCCTAAAAGTAGAAGCCTTTTTAGTAAAAATTGTTGGAAAACCTTTCATATTTTTTTTCACCAAACAACAGACATGAGATTAGTTTTTCTTTTGTATATATATAATTTTTTTGAATATAAACTTTAGTTGGTTCAAAATTTTATTTCAGATGGACAAAGAAGTGAAGGCAGTCCTTTCAATGATAAATCTTCCAAGTGATGGTCACACTTCAAAAGAAAAACAAACGGTTAATATTCACGGGTAAATTCTAGCTTGTTTATTGTTGTTGTTCTGCATGTTTATGTTCATTCAATCATAAATCTTCCAAGTACATCAAGGATTGGACTTGGCTTGGTCATTCTATGAGTTTCTTATGTTCGGCTTGAGCCGAGCTTTCACATATATGTTTGGAATTGGCTTGTTTATACTTTCTTATGATTGAGCTTGGTTTATTCTTGCTTTGCCTAAATTAGCTGAACAAGTTCTTAAATAAGCTAGTAAACAAGTTGTCTCTCCATCTCTTTTTCAATCAAGCTCAATACAGGGCCAAGGGGATTTAGATGTGGTCCAACCCTTAGGATGCCATGTATGCATGAAGACTAGGAACTTCTCTATTCAAATGAGAATATAGGAATAACTAATGGTAATCAATGATCTAAGTGTCATGGAAGTGACAATCTGTGTCATAAAGAGGTAGTTCTAAAGTGAATTGAATGAGAATGAGAGGGTAAACTCTACATGCCACATGATGTGAATATTCCTAAATGCCGTGTTGACTCATATAGGGTACAAACTTGTGTTTGTGATATAAGTTTGCTTAGATGTGACGTGTGGGACTTGACCTATGTAGATCAAATTCCTTGTATTCTATTAAGATGAGTTAGCAAAGTTTAGGTGACGTGTTTGCACGCCAAATGATTTGAATTGTCTCTAATGCAATGCATATGCCAATGTTGTGACCAAAAGTTAGGATGCTCACTCTAATGTAAACATGAATTTGCTTCTATGTGTGCGAGTGTTTTGAATATATTAAAGATGGATACTTTTATAACATAACGTTATTTTGAAATCAATGATTCAAATATCGGGATGTTTAATGAGTTTCCAAAATTTTAATTAAAATAGTCCTATTTAAACTGGCTAATGGATCAGGTCAAAGAATGTCAGAAGTCTGGCTTTAGCACAATCAATCTTAATAGAATTTAAGGAGTTCAAGTTAAATAGTCAGAACTTGTTTATATTCATTTTATATGTTATGTTAATAAGTATAATTTAAAATTATTACCATTCTTTTATAATTTTAAATGCAATAAAATGTAATGTTGGATGATATTAATTATTCACATAATGATAGTTATAATAGGTGAATGATTTATTAAAAAAATCAACTATATAAATGATGTAGAACGGAGGGGGGGGTTTGGTTAATTAATTTCCCTAAGTGGATGTCCAATTGGGGAATTAATTAATTTAGGAGGGAGAGAAAGAGATGGGGGCCTGCCAAAGGAGGGGAGAGAAGTGTCTAGGTTCGATGAATGTAGAAAGAGGTGTCTAGGTTCGATGAATATAGGAAGATGTGTCTAGGTTTGATGAATGTAGGAATTTTGAATTAATTCCCAATCAATTTCAGATTTAATCATTCATTGATTGAGGGAAGACTTTTCAAAATTAAACTAAATAATTTAGGAAATAATTTAAATTTTGAATTTAAATTCAAAAACTTACCAAAATGAAAAAGACTTAATTTATGAAAGAATAAATTTAGAAGGGAAAAGGGTGGGGCTAAAGCCGACGGCTAGGAGTGGGTAGGGTCTAGGTTGGGCGACAATTTTTGGAGGGAAATTCAATTTCAAAATTTTGAATTTGAAATAGGAGGGAATCAAATTCAAAATGTTGAAATTAATTTTGCCATAGAGGTGGGAGTAATTGGTGGGATTGGAGGTTTAATTAGGAGAGCATTAATGGGCATCTTAATTAGGTGATTTAAAACTTGCCAAGTGAGGAATCTTAAATTAGGAAGGAGTATTTAAATTAAATCTTATTGGAATTTGAAATAGGTTTGATTGGAATAGTTTCCTAAAATAAGATAACTAATTTAGGAAAAGATTTGAAATTTAAATTCATTTGAATTTAAATTCAAAAGCTTTCCAAATTTAAAACAAATCCAAATAGGAAAAAAAGAAACCAGGATGAAAGGGCTAAGAGAAGTGACGGCTTGGTGGAGAAGGTGGTGGTTTGGTGGGGTTTTAGGATGGAGATAGGGAGGAGATCGTCGGTTGGAAGAAGGGGAGGGTGGTGGCCGACGGTTAAAAGGAAAGGGGGTGGGTGGCCGGTGGTGGGGAAGAGGATAGGAGGTAGAAAGCCAACGATTAGGAGAAGATTTAGCCAGCGGCTAAAGGAAGAGGCGAGGGATTAGAGAACGAAAATAAATCGTGAGCCCGGATACTTTTTGCGGCTGACAGGTGATACATTGCCCTTCACCAAGGGACTTCAACCACGAGCCCGGACACATCCTACTGCTGGTGGGTATCTCATTATCCTCACATAGGGACTCCTACTCTCCTAAGAACTCTCATTGCTCTCAAGAATAAAGTGTAGAAACAATTTTTTTATTAATTCATCATGGTCTAATCCAAGAGCAAGGGTCTCTATATATAGACCTTAAAAGAAACTAAAAGACAACTTTGCCCATTGGGCTTATATAAGACAAGACCCTTAAGGCTAAAAACGAAAAAATGCATAATTAATTCAAAAATACAATTAATAAACTAAGACAAAATGGAGGAATTTCGGCCGTTGATCTTCGTCTCTTCCTTTGATTAACATCCACTGTCGGATGTCTGCATGATTCTCTTGGGGTGGGAGAAAGCTCGACTCCGTCGAGCACGTATCTTGTTTGCACAACCATGCTTTGATACCAAACTGATGTAGAATGGAGGGTGAGGGGTTTGGTTAATTAATTTCCCTAAGTGGATGTCCAATTGGGGAATCAATTAATTTAGGAGGGAGAGAAAGAGATGGGGGCCGGCCAAAGGAGGGGACAGAAGTATTGATGCAGACAAAAACTAGGAAAACCCCTAATTTTTGCAAGAAAAAAGAAACACTTCATAGGAAATAGAAAATTACACGAAAGAAAACAAAATACAACTTTATATCATAAAAATGACGCTTACAAACGGCGCTTACACACTTATGAAATAAAAACACGTAAAATTGCATTCCTTGATTAAAAAGAAAGATACAAGTGGGGTGGTCACATGCGGAGAGAAGAAAGAGGTAAATAGTCGAGACGAAGAAAGGACAAGCTCGCAAGATTTCCTAGAAGAAGGGTAGAAAAGGTGGAACAAGCTTGCAAGCCTTTCCAAGGAAACCCGTATGTTTTATCCAAAAAGCAGTCACATAACATTTTTTTTATTAACAAAACACCACATATAGGAGAAAAGGTGCAGCCAAACAGCCCATAATTATTTCCAATTGAGCCATTCAAAAAGGGGAAATGTAAGGTCAAAAGCCAGTCCAGAATAGCACCCGAAAAAGCCACACAGGAAACCACGAAAAGCAGGCACGAGACAGACAGCCAGGGGAGGAACCGAAGGGGCAGCATAAGGAACCGAAACCAGCAGCCCAAGGAATCGGAATAGGCCACGGGAAGAACAATCAAGGGAGAAAATTGAAGAGACATAGGGAAGGGAAAAGGAACCAGGGGGAGGAAATTAAAGGGTCATTTAGAGGGGGGGAATGAATCTAAATTAATTTTAGATTTATGAGCTGAATAAACAGTGGCTAAGCATTTATGAGCTGATTTTTAGTAGAGGAAAAACAAACTCACCAAAATAAAAACCCAAAATATTTTGACCCCCCATTTGCCTACATCAATTCTCCCCTGGTTGAAAGAGCTCATCTCTTGATGATGCTTGAGTATGTTCTGAAAGCGTTGCATCTAGCTCTTGAATTTTGGCTGCATACTTTTGCAAGATTTATTCTCGTTCTTGTTTGAATTGATCTTGTAGAAGTCTCTTTTTCTTCATGTACTGCTCCGTACACAAGTGCATTTTCATATGTAGTATGTATAATTCATTTTGTATCGGATATGTTGAATCTCCTTCCGTGAATTGGCACTTCAATATCTTTTGGCTGATTTTCTCCAACAACTGACTCAATTTTTTCGTGGTTTTACATTTTTTTAAACACTTAAAAATTATGAAAAAATCTAGGAATACACAAACCTAGGCTCTGATACAAAATTGATGCAGGTAAAAATTAGGAAAACTCTTAATTTTTGTAAGAAAAAAAAAACACTTTCTAGGAAATAGAAAATTACACGAAAGAAAACAAAATACAACTTTATATCATAAAAATAATGCTTACACACTTATGAAATAAAAACACCTAAAGTTACATTCCTTGATTAAAAAGAAAGATACAAGTGGGGTGGTCACATGCAGAGAGAAGAAAGAGGAAAGAAGTCGAGACGAAGAGAGGACAAGCTCACAAGCTTTCCTAGAAGAAAGGTAGAAGAGGTGGAACAAGCTTGCAAGCCTTTCCAAGGAAACCATAGGTTTTATCCAAAAATTAGTCACATAATATTTTTTTATTAACAAAACACCACACTCGCGCGCGCGCGCGCGCGCGCACACACACACACACACATATATATATATATATATATATATATATAGGAGAAAAGGTGCACCCAAACAACCCATAATTACTTCCAATTGAGCCATTCAAAAAGGGGAAATGGAAGGTAAAAAACCAGTTCAGAACAGCACCCGAAAAAGCCACACATAAAACCAAGAAAAGCAGCCACGGGATAGGCAGCCTGGGGAGGAACCGAAGGGGTAGCACAGGGAAGCGAAACCAGCAGCCCAGGGAACCGGAACAGGCCACAGGAAGAACAACCAGGGGAGAAAACCGAAGAGACACAGGGAAGGGAAAAGGAACCAGGGGGAGGAAATCAAAGGGCCACATATAGGGGGGGGGAATGAATCTCAATTAATTTCAAATTTATGAGCTGAATAAGTAGTGGCTAAGCATTTATGAGCTGATTTTTAGTAGAGGAAAAACAAACTCACCAAAATAAAAACCCAAAATATTTTGACCCCCCCTTTGCCTACATCAATTCTCCCATAGTTGAAAGAGCTCATCTTCTGATGATGCTTGAGTATGCTCTGAAGGCGTTGCATCTAGCTCTTGAATTTTGGCCGTATACTTTTTCAGGATTTCTTCTCGTTCTTGTTTGAATTGATCTTGTAGAAGTC